TGGCATTCTGGCGCTGGCCATGCCGCCCCTAAAAATGTGCCGCCCCAAGCACCAGGTTGTTTTGCTGGTGCCTAGAGCCGGCCCTGCCCCCAACATTTTGCTGCCATAGGTATCCAAAAGGTATCCTGTAAGGTATTATATGTAAATTGGTGACATACTAGTCCCAAATATCATTGCTTGATGAAAGTATATTTACATATGAGTAGGGCTGTCGATTAATCGCAGTTAACTCATGAGATTAACTAAAAAAAATTAATCGCGATTAATCACAGCTTTACTCGCACTGTTAATCAATAGAATACCAATTGAAATTGCTTAAATATTTTGGATGTTTTCCTATTATGGTTTAACATTCTATGTATTCTTTTGTTTAACAGCACGATTAATAGTGATTAATTTTTTTAATTGCTTGGCAGATTACAGATGAGGTAAACAAAGCAATCAAGTGTAAAGGAGCTAAGTGAGCACACCAGCAAAGAGTGTCTGCACGCCCAACAAGTCTTCCTGACTCCTGAGGCAAAGACTATCGATTTTGGAGAAATAGAAGGAGAGCAAAAAGTTGGATCCCTGGGCCTGCAGGAATAGCGACCCGGTAATTTGGCGTAAATGAGGAAAAACTATTCAGGCAAAGATTGTAAGTTGCTAAAAATTGTACTCACTAGAAAGAGTGTGATGTTTTGTTTGTAACCATTCCTGTCTCTCTCACTCTTGCTTAGATCTGTTCTTTAATAAACTTATTCTTAGTTTTACTATAACCCATCTGAGTGCTGTTATATTGAAGTATAAGAGTGAATCCTCGGCTGACCGAACAGGCAAGTGTGTACTCAGTCTCTTTGGAGACAGCACACTTAATTTCTCTGAGTGTCCAGTGAGACAGACTGGACACTATAGAGAGACATTGCTGGGGAACTCAGGAACTGGAGTTCACTGGGTGTTACTTGCAGGGCAAGGTTTAGAATGGCAGAGGTAGGAGGAGTTTTGGGGGCAAGGCAGACAGGATGGAGTGTCAGAGAGCTGACATGCAGCTGCAAAGCTCTCCCTTGGTGAGGCTGAGGGTTAACACAATGGCTTATGGTTCTGGGTTCCTTGAGGAAGTGTCACAGTGAGCATTTCCAGATTTATGAATTGTTTCTGTAAGCTACACAACCCCATCTTCTGTTGTCACACAAGCACTTATTGGATTGCTGTGTACATTGCTCTGTCAATACTGACTGATGAATTTCCTGTCAGGGCCGGCTCTGGCTTTTTTGCCATCCCAGAGCGCCGGGGGGAGGGCGGCGAGCCCGGCCGGGGCTCCGCTCTCCCCGGCGGCCGGAGCGCCGCACCGTGCCGCCCCCCTCCAGGTGCCGCCCCAAGCACAAGCTTGGTGGGCTGGTGCCTGGAGCAGGCCCTGTTTCCTGTTAATGCTTTTTGCACATTT